TAGGTTTACAAATACTAATTACCACAATATTGTAGCTACCAGAAACACCAGAAAATTTGATGAAATCAACAACTATAAGACCACCACCAGTAACAAAAACAACAGTGTGTGCTTATAGCATGTGCTTAGCCATGTAACTTGAAGCTTCATTGTAATTGGTAATAATAATAGCTCTAAGCAGAGCACAACAGAAGTTTCAAAAAGTAAATTAGCATAGAGCTTCAGCCTTGTAGGTATATCAATAGATATAAGCTGGGCTTACAAAAACTAGTTTTGTTGTTACAAATAACTACAGGGATGCTTTTACACAAAATAATAAATTCTTGCAGAAATACTGCATGAAAATGTTATAGACCCATATAAAATATACTTTATAAAAATAGTTATAAAAATTGGTGTCACCCCAATGACAGTGTCACCCAGTGCAGTCCGCACCCTGCACTTCCCTAGTGACACCATTGATTATATAGTCCTCACATATATAGACTCTGGAATCACAGCTTCAAAATTTGCATCTAAACATATGGATTGTGTGATCTTGGCCTAGTTATTTAACCTGTCCATACATCAATTTTCTCATCTATTACCACGTAGGTAATACAATATAATAACTGTCTCTTAAGGGGAAGCTTTGGTAGCATAGTGCCTAAGGCATTTGACTGCTAACCAGAAGGCTGGCAGTTCTAACCCACCAGCCACTCCTCAGAAGGAGGATGAACAATCTACTTCTGTAGTGATGATGATGTTGTTGTTATGTGCTGCTGAGTCGGACCTGACTCATAGTGACCCCTCCTTGGGTTTCTGAGGCAGTATCACTACGGAAGTAGATTGCCCCATCTTCCTTCCGAGGAGTGGCTGGTGGGTTTGAACCTCTAGCCTTCTGGTTAGCAGTCAAGTGCCTTAGCCACTATGCTACCAGAGCTCCTAGTGATACTGTCTCAGAAACCCAAAGAGGGGTCGCTATGAGTCGGGTCCAACTCAAAGGAATATAACAACAACAACAATGTCTCTTAAGGTTGGTGTAAGAATTAAAAATTTAATACTTATAAAGTGATAAACATTTCCAGGCATTTAAGTACTTAATAAAAGTTATTGTCATTAATAAGTACCTCATTATAGAATCATTGATGATTTCCTTATATTTAAAATAACCACTTGTTAAAGAATACTAAACAGACACTTGTCTTTTTAGTTAAATAAAACGTAATCTATCTGTTTCCACAATAAAAAATCACAGATCATGTGTAAAATCTATATATCTATGTAAATCAATTACTTTATGTGGATATTAATTGTACACTTAATATTAATATACTAGACTAGAATCCCAAAGAATAAAAAATAACCAATTCTGAATCACTAAATGAGAATGTTTTATTTTGGATGGAGATAAACTGAAGTTACTGATAAAAACAGAGAAAGAGCGTGAGAGAGTTAACAAATGTTAATTCATAATTAATTCCAACTGTCTACTTGTTTAAGAAAATTAATTGTTTTCAAGTATTCTGTAAGGCTAATTTATGTATTTGAAAACACAACTGCAATGTAAACAGACCTTAAGCAAGGTAATCTACTTAACACTACTGTGTGAAGAAGCTAATTTCAAACTACTCATATCAAAACTTGAAACTGAAATTTCTTCTAGCCAGTATCTGAAAGTGACACAACTCATTTTGCTTAAAAATACATGATATACACTTACACTGTGTGCTTAGTGCCTAAGGCACCTGACTGCTAACCAGAAGGCTAGCAGTTCAAACCCACCAGCCGGTCCTCAGAAGGAAGATGGGGCAATCTACTTCCATAGTGATACTGCCTCGGAAACCCAAGGAGGGGTTGCTATGAGTCAGGTCCGACTTGATGGCACATAACAACAACATCAACACTTACACTGCTCCCAGGTGATTTCTCCCTAGCCACCCTAGTTAGTGACATCTTATCATAGGACCATTCTCTTTTGTTAAAACAAAGAGAAACTTTGCTGTTTAGGTATGAAATAACACTTGGGACACTGCCCAGCCTAAAAATGTAATGACTGAAGGCAGATGCTGAACACTCCATCACCTGAAGAAAGATAAGAAAAACTGAACTGAGTCTCCAATGGAATTCCCTGTGCTTTTGTAGAATGTTGACAGTAAGGAAGTTTATGAAAGCTCTTTTATAGCTTATCTTTCATTGTTACCATTGTATATTCTTCATAAATATTAATGTTTGCAGGTGAAACAGAAATCCATCTATATCAAGAACCTTTACATCTAAATTTTTAGAACACTAAATGTGTCGATAAAAAACAAAGAAACATTTCCTCTATTAAAACTTATGAAAATTTAGATGACAAACTGCCTTTACTTTAAATTATTTTCACATCAGGATATTAGCACAAGATCAGCCAAATTTACACTGAGTTGGCTAGAATAATAGCGGGAGGATCTTGGCATCAGCTTATAAGACTGTGGTCATTTTACTCAGTTTAACTGAAGGCAGTCAACAGCGTCAATGAAAACTCTGTGACTCTGAATATTGATACACTATTTAAAACCTATTTTATAAAACAGAATTAAGACACTTACTATTTAGTCAAACTAGCAGAAAGAGAAGATAAATAAAATTTATTCAGATTAGCTTACAATGATAAGAAAAAAAAATTAGTATATTGGTCTTTACCCAGGGAGGTCTGAATCCAGATTGTTGCTGTTGTTGTTGTTATGTGCTGTCAAGTCAGGCCTGACTGATAGTGATCCCTCCTTGGGTTTCTGAGGTGGTATCACTATGGAAGTAGATCATCCAACCTTCCTTCCAAGGAGTGGCTGGTGGGTTTGAACCACTAGCCTTCTGGTTAGCAGTCAAGTGCCTTAGGCACTACATTACCAGAGCTAAAATCCTAACTCCACTAATAACAAGTTGGGAGATCTGGGCAAATTACTTAACCTCATCGGGCCTCATCTATAAAATGGGATATTAAATATTAACCCCTACCTTACAGAATTGTTATGAAGACTAAACGAATTTCACATATGGAAAAGTGTTTAGGAAAGCATGCTATCTATTGTTGGGCATTTTTCTAAACACTCAAATACTACCTATTACTTATAAGCTTCCTGTGATACAGCTAGTAAACCTGCAGTTATCAAAAGTCCTAGGAAAAAATTACAAGGTTGCTTGGAAATTTGTTTTTGTAAGAAATATTTAAACTGAGGGAAAATAAACCCACACATTTTCAAAATTGTGGCTCCTCAAACAGAAAAACACAATGAACATTTGGAAATAGTTGAAGTAAAAGTATACCTTCCTTCATACAACAGCTATGTTCTTAAAAAGATGCTAGCCCATGAATTATTTTAAAAAGGAAATCATCAAGTCAATGATATAATCCCAGAAGTGTTTAAAACCTGATTTCTAATTACTGGTAATTCTTAACAGTTTGCCTCTGTACTTTATACACAATACTGGGTCTTTATATAATTCTTCCATTTTCGCATCCTCACTTCTCACTACTCACATAGACCTCTCCCTATAATTACATCTCCTTTCCCTGCAATTCCCTGTCAAGTGTATGTTGCTTATGTCTTTGCTGTGTTTTGTTTTTTAACAGAAGGAAACCTAGTTGAATAATTGTATCATTTGTGCATAGAATATAACTTTATAAGGATAATATAAATGGTGACAACCGTAAGAGAAAAAAAAGATAGAAATTAACACTTATTATAATGTCTACGTATGTCAAAAAACAACTATGAAGAAAAATTAAACTTTGAATGACAAAGATAAGAATAGTTCTTATGTACGGTCAAGTACTTATAGAAATAAAAGTATTATTTTATAATGTTTTAGACTTTACACTACACATTCACACAAATTATCTCATTCTAACTTCATAGCATTCCTGTAAGGAAGGCAGAAAGCAGGGATTTTCAACCTCAGCACTAAGGACTTTTTAAGCCAGATAACTCTTTGTGGAATATACTGAGCGGCAACTCTGGTCTTTTCCCACTGGTTGTCAGTAATATTTCCCTCTCCTCAAACTGTGACAAAGAAAAATGTCTCCAGATACTGCCAAATGTTCCCTCACCAAAATCCTCACCAGTTAAGAACCAGTGGCAGAAAGAAATAGTACCTTCTCTGTAGTTGAAACTCAGAGAAGGTAAGTGATTTGCCCAAAACACCCTTACTTTAAAGACATAAACTTAACAGTTATAGGACTTGGCCATGAATCACTAATCACCACTTAAACCAAATGCGAGTTTGTCTGCCAACTATGTTGTGAGGCAGACACCTCTGAACTCCCTTTCTTCTCCACTGATTTAGGCATTCATTATTTCAGGGTTCTTTCTTCCCACAGAAAGAAAACATGCCATTTTAATTCCAGGTCAGAAATAAACATTCTGCAAATTTACCTAGGCATAAAACATATTTACCCAGGCTATACCTCAGTTTTTTCAAAGTAGTTTTTCTCTTACTCTGTAGAAGGTTTATGAAATAAGCTATGACTCTTGTTAATTAGGCAGTTAATATGCTATTCAACCCATATGGTCTGCCTCTATTATATACATAACAATCCCTGGACCATTTTCTTTTGACAGAAGTATCATATCAGGAAAGCTCAATGTATATTAAATGTTAAGGATAGAACTGAAGACACTTTGACTATCTGACCAAAAGTATCTCTAATGGTCTTGAGCTTCCTTCTTTTATGAGCTTGCTCAATGATCTGATAGTATGTAGCTTTATGCTATTTAATTATTAGCATTTTTTCTTGTACATTATTGTCCTTTCTTCATGTGTGACAAAATATTGGATTCTCTTTCTAATATTCTAAATATGAACACTTCATACAATTAGTCAACCACCATATCTAAGCCATGTTTCACCTCTCTCCAACTGTTTCTCCACAAAAGAAGGAACAATAGACTCGTCCCAAGTAATACACTGCCATCTATGTGCAGACTGATAAGATAAAAAGGACTATTTGAAAGTCAGAGGATCAGGGTTACAGACCATACCTTCCATGACGTATACCAGTGACCCCACATCTCCTTCTTTGATGATGCAACTGTCTTTGCCGTATTCCACTGGGTACATACAATCCACAATCTCCTGGATCTGTGACAGTTCCAAGTTCTTCATGAAGTCATTGTCAAGGATAGCTTCCTTTATGAGATCCTTAGACCTATAGCAAGAGAGGGAAGATTTACTGGCAGGACTGACAAGCTTTGCAATAGTCTGTGAGGACTAGCAGAGCTGTACAACTCTGGCACACTACATATGCATTTTCTTGCTAGGAATCCAATAGCTTTCTGAAAGGTCTAAGAAGGAAGTAATTACATGGCAGCAGAAAAGGCACTGAGACACTTTCCTTTAAGTAAAGTATTATTTAATGAATACATAACTAACACACTTAAATAAAATCATTTAACTCCATTTTGATTTAAAATCGTTTTTAAATACAAAGGTTGAAGGAAAACCATTGGACAAACTTTTAAATTGGATTGTATAATTTACTTAAACAACAAATATGAATAAAATATAATAATATTTTATTGAATAGATATTTTTACTGTTTATGTCTTATACAAGAACATCAAGCTTGTTTTATTTATACAATAAACATCAAGCTTGCATTATATTATGTTTCATTTATTACAATAAAACACAATTTCTTTACTTATTTCTTATGTACCTCTTCCACTAGAATTTACGCTCCATGAGGACAGGGATAATTCTTTATTTAGTTTGTTCTCTACTGTGTGTTCACTGTTCATCATTTCAACACCAGTCATAATATAAACGCTCAAAAAATACTGTTTTACAAAAATGATGATTAAAACTGGATTCCTAAGTTACTATTTGAAACAACTGGTATAAGTGTGATAGCTGTTTATTCACATCTTATGCTTCTTTAGAGAATAGTTATTACCTCAAGTAGCTTAAAGTGAAGTATCCAGATAGATAAAACTCTATAAACCAAGATGTTTTAAATACAACGTAATTTAGATACAGTATTCAAATACAAGTTGTCAATGGGGGAAGATATTTACAAATACTGCCATTGGGATTCAGTGGTAAAAAAGAAAAATTTCCAATGATATGCATATAAGATGGTGATGCTTTGATTTGCTAGGAGAAGAAGTTCCAAACTTCTTAACTTCCTAAGGGTCAGGAAGAGCACAGTGAGAAAGTACAGATGGAAAAGTGAAACTCGGTAAGACTTAAGTAAAGATCTTAGCAACATAAGACAGAAAATAATTTTGGAATTTCATATTAAAAGTCATAACTTTTAGAAAAAATTAGCTGTAAATTGGACTTGATATCCACAAATGCATAGGAAGTGGCTTTCAGAGAAATGTCCCATAGCATTGCATAATAACTAAAGCATAAACCACCCTCACCCATATTTCTGGACAACTTCTCATCTAGACCAAAGTCTAATGGAACTTGCCTCACACATTATGTTTTTTAATGACTTGGTTTTAAATAATAAATAGGTATATATAAAACTGGAAATTTATAAATATGAAAAATATTCATACATGGATTGTTAGACTACAGCCAAAACTTTTTTTTTTGGAGAGTGATAATAGCTTGGGAAAATTCTTATACTACTGTTAAATGAAAAAAAGAGAATACAAAAGAGCTGGGTTTTTTTTGTTGTCGTTGTTTTGTTTTTTTAAATAAAAAGGTATGTCTGTGATGAAATGGAAAGAAAATAGGTTTTGAAGTTAGCTGTATCTTCAATCCCAGTCCTAGGATTCCAGTCCTAGCCCCATCACCTATAAAGCCTGGAGTACACTGTCTAACTTTTCTGTATTTCCATTTTGCCAATTGATTATCTGTAAAGACTGATGGCAATATATTACTTTTAGTTAATGGCACATGGTGAAGGTAGAAAGAAGTAGGGTTAGTTATGGTAGGAGTATTGGGAGGAGTCATAACTGAATATAAAATGATGACTTAAAACATTTCCTGAAGAAACTTTTCAAAGTGTTGGCATTGGTTGCCTTGGGGTGACAGAATTATATTTTTCCTACTACTTTCCTGTAATTACAAAATTTGCTAGAATGAGTATGCATTTTTTTTCAAAGTAGATTACTAAATGTAACTATCCTATGAGAGGAGCTCTGGTGGTATAATGCCTAAGGCACTTGACACTTGACTGCTAACCAGAAGCCTGGCAGTTCAAACCCGCCAGCCACTCCTCAGAGGGAAGATTGGGCAATCTACTTCTGTAGTGATAATACCTCGGAAACCCAAGGAGGGGTCACTATGAGTCAGATCCGACTTGATGGCAGTGAGTTTGGTTGGTTTTGTATCCTATGAGGAAAAATAGGATGCAAATATAATCAATTATTCAGTAAATCTGTGACTGGATATTTATTACTTGTGGTGCAGTGAATTACTTAATATAGTTTTTCTAGCCATGGTCTTTGCAACTCCCACCAGTTGACTGAGTGGGACTATGCAAATGTTAGGTGCTTGTGGCCCACCAAAGGGATTGGATCACTTGCTAATAATGTAAATAAGGTACGTAGTACTCTTGTGGGGTGGAGCCATGCAAATAAGGTGTATGAGGATTGGTCAGTTTTACCATCTTGCTAGGCTTAAAATAAGCCATTCCACAAACATTGATATACGAGTGGATAGATGGGTGGACAGGCTGAACTATTAGTTATGTCTATGCAGGGGGGAGTGTGCCCAAGACCATGTATAGGGCTGGTAGACAATGCTTCTACAAATGTATTTGTATATTCTATAAGAATTCCCAGGTATATAGTAAATCTGACAAGGCACAAGTTTATAGTTACTTATTCACCACAACCAGCTACCCAGAGGGAGTGAATAGTTGGACTGTGGGCTCGGGACCATAGTTGCAGGGGAAATCACGCTCAATTGGCATAACATACTACAAAAACATTGTTCCACATCCTACTTTGGCGAGTAGCAACTGGGATCTTAAAAGCTTGCAAGTGGCCAATCTAGATGCAACGATGGGTCTCTCCTCATTCAGGTAAAGAAGAATGGAAAAAAAAACAAAGACGCATGGAAACAATTAGTCCAAGGGAGTGGTTGGTATACCATGCAATCCTCAGCCTGTATGACTATGAGACCAGAACTAGATGGTGCCCAGCTACCACTGTCAACCACTCAGATGGAGGTCTATGTAGGAGATCCTGGATAGAGTGGAAGAACAATGTGGAACAAAACTCAAAATCATTTAAAAAAAAAAGGCAGGGGGGACACCAGGTTTGCTGGCCTAATACAGCCTGATGGAACCTCTGAGACTATGGCCCCCAGCTGCCCTTCCAGTCTGAAACTGAACCCACTCCTGTGGCTTTCAACCAAACAAAAGACAGGCATATCAGCTGAACATTTACCTTAGGTAGATACACTCCCTGGAGAGATCAATCATGGGAGAATAGAAGGGCTGTGTATGAACAGGGAGACAGGTTGGGGGCAGGAGTCCATGGGAGAGAAGGACACAGGGAAAAGGTAACTATGGTAAGGAAGTGGGAGGGGAGCTGATGCCCTGTAGGAAATTGTACTCAATGTCATAAGACAAAGTACATGTGAGCTGCTGTATGGCAAGTGAATTTGCTCTGTAAACTTTCACCTGAATCATAATAAAAATTAAAAAAAAAAAAAGTGTCATTCCAGAGGGTTGATCTCATTACCAACAAGAAAAAGCGGGAGTGGAGGGCATCCTTGTACCCAAGACCCCTGCACAGAGATGGCAGAGAAGCAGCAGCAACACAGCTGCAGCAGAACCAGGAAAATCAAGACGGTTAGCAACACATGAAGAAATGCTCATGGTCATTGCCATTACAAGATCCAAATCAAAACAAGGTATCATCTCACCCCAGTAGTAACAGCAAAGTTGGGATGCAAGGAGCAGGAAACAACAAATCCTGGCAAGGGTGTGGAGAAACTCAAATACTCGTACACTGCTGGTGGGATTGTAAAAATGATACAACCACTGTGGAAAGCAATAAGTCACTTCCTTAACAAATTGGAAACAGAAATACTGTATGATCCAGCAATCCCACTACTAGGCATATATCCTAGAGAAATAAGAATCATGACACAAACAGATATATGTACACCCATGTCTATTCATAATATTGTGAATAACTGCATTATTCACAATAGCAAAAAGATGGAAACAACCTAAGTGCCCACCAACAAATGAATGAATAAACAAATTATGGTACATACACACAATGAAATCCTAGGTAACATTAAAGAATAATGATGAATCTGCAAAACACTTCATAACATGGATGAACCTAAAGGACATTATGCTGAGTGAAGTTAGTTAATCACAAAAGGGCAATTATTGTATGAGATCACTACTGTAAAAAGTTAAGAAAAGAAAGAATCACTCTTGGTTACCCGGGGTGGAAGAGGAAGGGAGGGAAATCACCAACTAGAGGTGATTAACTTGAGTGAAGGGAAAGTCAATTTACAATAAGGGGGGAGGTGGTTCAGCACAAAATGATCAAGGCAGGGGAAGACTCAGGGAGAAGCACAAGAATTAAAGGTAACAATGGTGAATACAATTACATACTACAATCCTGCAAGAACAGCAATAGCAATAATCTACGAGTGGATACACAGATACACACTCAATCTGAACAGGGGAGTAGGATGACGAATGGGACTACACCCACAAATATATATAGGCTTATCAGAGGATATCTCCACCTATGTACATATCAATGAATGCAGTAAAGCATACAGGGGGCAAAGTTATAAAACCTTCTTAGTCATGACAAAACACCTTGAAGGAATGAGTCACTGGGTATGGAGGCTCAAGGCCATAGCTTCAGGGGACACTAAGGTCAACTAGTGTAATAGAGTTCACAAAAATAATGTTCTATATTTTACTTTGGTAGGTAGTGAAAGGGGTCTTAAAAACTGTGAGTGGCCAAATAAGATGCAACAACTCGTGTCTCCTTGTCCAGAGCAAAGAAGAGCAAAGAAAATCAAAGATGCAAGGAAATAATTAGTCCAAAGGACGAACAGACCTTGTGAACTCCATTATCCATGACCCTGAGACCAGAACTAAATGGTGCCCAGCTACCCCTGACCACTCTGAAAGGGATTACAATAGAAGGTACCGGGTAGAGTTGGGGGAAATGTGGAATAAAACTCAAAATCATAAAAAAGGAAAGT